TATATTTTTTTCCAATTAAATCATTATTTTTATTATTTCGAGTCAGGTCAGATCGGGATCGATTTTATCACAAAAATCAGGTCGGGTTTAGGTCGGTGAAGGTATATATTTTTCGGGTAAGGTCGGGTCGGTGAAGGATGTAGAATTTTCGGGTCGGGTCGGGTCGGGTTGGCCCAAACCGACCCATGTCCATCCCTAATAGAGTTCCCTAAGATGAAAGTTAAGCCACGAAAGAGCGAGAGTTTGCTCAGGTCACGGTTTGTAAAGGTAGGAAATTGATGGCGAGAATAATCGAAAGAGATGGTTAAAACATTGAATAAAAAGAAAAGAAAAATTCACACATAAATCCATAAACTTCAACAATTTTGAAATAGTCACTCATCCTCAAAAAGCATTAATAAATAACCAGATATAGAATTATTAACTTTTTTCTTCAAATTATTATTAATTATTAATGACATATTAAGTATTTATTGAACTATAACCAATTTGATATATATACAAGTTTTGAGGATTAAAACTATTAGGGTAAATTACATATTTTGTAATTGAACTTTACTCTCTCTCCTATTTCACTCATTGTACTTTAATTTTTTTTAATTTCCTCATTGAACTAATACATTGGTATTTTTGTCACTCAGCCGTTTCCTCACTTAAGACATTATGACTTGGCTTTTTGTTGTAACGGATGAGTGACAAAAAAATCTAAAGTTTGTGATAAATTGAAAATAATTAAAAGTAAATCAAGTGAAATATGAGAGAGAGTAAAGTTTAATGAACAAATTTGTAATTTTCCCCATTAAAAATCAAATAAAAAAGCCACATCTAACGGGTATTAAGGTCAGTGAGAAAATTGAAAAGGTTTAAGTACAATGAGTGAAATAAGAGAGATAATAAAGTTCAGTTGGTAGAGCACAAGGCTCTTGACCTTGTGGTCGTGGGATCGAGTCCCATGGTGGGCAATTCATAATTCGGAGGTCTCTCACGGAAGCTGCTCTCAACCTAGTGTTTGGGGCAGCCTACTATCCTACCCCCTTACCTCATTACATATGAGAATAGAGTTTAATTTTATTTCATTTTTTTTCGTTAGTCAACTATCAAATACAATTTAGAAAAAAAAATTAATTCTTTATTTTGTATATTTGTGGATGAAGCTATTAATTCTGGGAGTAGCCCATGTGTCAAAACATTGATCATAAACTAGGGTACATGATTTATTCATCTGTCTATATTTATCCATTATAAACCCAAAGCAAATAAACACAATACAATTTGTAATCACAATAGTTATATCACCATGAAGGCATTGAGCAGCGTCTCTTTCCTTCTCATCACTACCACCGTCTTCCTCTCATCTCCTCCACCGCCATCGTCGAAGCCACCAGCATAGTACTCAACTTATAAAAAAGAAGTGTTTGTGTGCCCGTCGATGATGCTTCCGATGCCGATTTACAACTAGCCTTGGATTGGGCATGGTCACCAACCGATTGATTGCGGTCCGATTCAGCCGGGTGCCGTTTGCGGTGACCCGCCCACCGTCAGGTCTCGTGCAGCATTCGCCATGAATTCTTATTACCGGTCTCAAGGAGGCCTTCCTATAGTTGTGATTTTAGTGGCACGGACGGTCACCTGCAAGGATCCAAGTAAGCTGAAAACTATTTGGTCAAATTTTGCTTTAGTCCCTCTACTGTGTTTAAATTGATATCGAGTCTCTAAACTTTAATTTAGCATAACTTGTTCTCCAATTTTATAATACAGCTCTGTTGGTAGAGCACAAGGTTCTTAACTTTGGGGTCGTGAGATCGAGTCCCACGGAGGGCATTTCATAATTTGGAGGTCTCCTACGGAAGTTGCTCTCAACCTGGCGTTGGGGGCAGCCTACTATCCTACCTCCCCTTATCTCATTATATATAAGAATAAGGGTCAGCTAATATTTTTTAAGGGTTGCCCTCGCCTCTGCAGTACCCGATCTGAATTAATCGATCAATAGATCGGATACCAGTGATTAATTTTAAAAAAAAATTAACAATATTAATAATTAGATTTAAAATTTTAATTTAAAAAACAATTAGACTAAATTCCTAGAAATGAATTGGAATACTGAGTTCCAAATTAAAATAAAAGACATTCTTGTTTACTTTTGCTTTATTTAATTGCGTATTTATTTTTTTCACGCAGGCTATGGCAATTGCAAATATCTCTGAAGGATTGGTTGGGAAACATCAGTTATGACAAAAAAACTTTATTGCAAATATTAAATATTAATTTACTTTTAGATTGTTTATTAATTATGTTGGCGAAATCATTTCTTGGTGGTTCAAAACGGGGAATGCTCGTCACATAGTTAAAGTCGTTATCGATCATTTTGGTTGAATATGACACGTCCAACTTCATTTACTGGGACTGCTGGGTCCTCCTTATCTAAGGCACTAGTCTCTTTGTAATGGCCTTTTGGTCTCTTACCATTCAAGGAAAAAAAAGTCTAACTCCAAAGTAATAATACACAAACATATAAACCTTTTATGGTAATTTAAAAAAATCTCGAGTTCTCGAAAACTCGTCAAAAGATGAAGTCTTCATTGGCTATTTTAAGCTATGTACGACTTAATATCTTTAACCAACATCATAATCTTTCTATTCAAAACTTTCGAAACTGAAAAGTATTTGGCTTGTGTCATTTCGGTTGCCCTTTGGAGTATTGGTTGAGTAGAAACGATCGTATGTTTAATGAAAGAGCAATTCTCGTATGTTTAAAGTAGTTTAATTATGCCATCGCTGCCTTGTCTCGAGTCGGATGAGGGCAGTTGTCTTTGAAATTTAAAATCACCATATATTTTAGATTTTTTTCTCTATGTATTTTATATTGAAATCTATTTTTACTCCCTATAATTTTAAAAGTTCAAGTACCCCTTGAAATTTTAAAAGTCAAGTTCGTACCTTAACATAAAATCATATGTCTATCCCTTATCACGAGAGTAATGTCATCATTATTCTATAATATCCTAAACCGAATCTAGATAAAAATTAAATCAAAATATTAAAAGGTCGATCAAACTTAACTAGAGATTAATTATAATTAAAATTGTAACATTAGCAAATATATACAACTAATAATGGAATGATCAAATGCTTAACGAAATGAGCATGTTAATATCGTTTGGACATGTTTAATGGTTAATAATACATATCATCATGAAATGATCATCTATAGAAGATTCTTAGATGCACATATCATTCACTAAAACACAATTAGATTTATTCGTATATATTTTCGTTCAAGTCTTTTCGGTTGAGTTTTTTTTAACCTTTTTTATATATGGTTCTTGTCTGACTAAAGTAGTCGGTTTCAATTTTAAGAAAATGCTCAAATAACCCACGTCCAGGTGAAGGCCAAATCAAACAACATGAAAATCAGAACATAAAAGGCCTTTATGAATCCAATACTACCCAAAATTCATGATTCTCCACTGCAACAGGGTGATTTCGGACCCGAAGTCATTGAAACTAATTCAAAATCTCGATAATCGTCAACTCCCATTGATTTATGAGAATACAAGCTTTCAATCAACATCCATAGACCTCCCAACTAGTTATATAGACTCCCATTCGAAGAAAAGAACCCCATAAGATTACAGTCGCAATGTTCCTGATATTTGCAACTGCCATACCATATACCTTGCCTCCCAACATCTGCAATTCCTTGAAACCCCTTGATCCCTCCTACTCCTGAAGATTTATTCTTTGAAACCCCGCAACACCATGCACAGCGCTGGTCATAACATTTAAGGGCCCTAGACAAAATAAAATATAAGGGCCCTAAAAAATGGGTGCAAGCATGGTATAAAATATAACGGCCCCTAGTGTATATGGAGCGGACAGAAGCATGCCGTATTCAGAAACGATTGGAAAATCAATGAAAATTGGAAAATAACTTGGGCCTCCTAACCTGGGCCCCCTCCGTTAAATCCCGTTGAAATGTCAGAACAAGCATGGTAAATCATAAGCTTGTTAAAATGGTAAATCAGAAGTGTGTGAAACATATACCATAAGAAGGACCCCTCCAAACCTGGGCCCTAGGCGGTCGCCACCCTCGCCTACCCTCAGGGCCGGGTCTGACCATGCAGAACCATACCGTTTTTATTTACCCAGAACATGTCTAGATTGAAATTCAGGCAAGAATCCTATATTATCTTCTGCTAAGACCAGAGCCTTGCCTTCTCCCCTGCCCCATCTAAATCTGATTTTGGATTATTATTAGTCATATCAACTCTTTCGGCCCAAGACATCTTGTTATTTGGACTTATATCAATCTGATCCCCTGAAAAGTCCATGAACGACTCAGTCTCTATAATGTTTATCTGCGCTAAATCAACTTTGTTATATACCACTGGCCCAGTATTGACATCGTTAGACCTTCCTTCACGTTGTTGCTTATCATTATGAGAATTAGCTGCCGCGACCTTACCCCTTCCATCCTCAAGCCCCTGTCACTGCCAACCACCTCCTTTCCCACATCATTGTCCCCAAGTCCTCCATGTAATCTCATCTCAGTACTGTTTATGCTATAAAACGTAGCCATGGTTCCAACCAGCACCTCATCGACTTCCATACATCTTCATCTTCAACGTGTCCTAGTATTTTCTCTCTCTCTGACACGGCTGGATTTTTGCACCCCAGCATTCTACAGGAGAAGACGACCCAGTTCTCTTCGGTCTCCATGCCACGGATGTTGCTTGAGTTTTCCCAACCCAGGTTTGTTAATCGGTTTTGCAATCATCACTGAAATTTTGTTCCCATATATCTTTAGTCCATGTAGTCTCTCAATCATTCTCATCGTCTCATTTCTCCTAGTTGTTCTCACAAACGCAAATCTGGTTCCCCCTGCTCCGTCTGTTTGCAATGAACACGTTCAAGACTTCTCCACGTCATTCAAAAATTTTCCATAATCCCTTCCAATGTAATGCCGACGGTAGATTATCCACAGAGTCACCCCTTCCATCATGCCCCGTGAACTTGTAACATCAAAGACTAACCAGGAAGAGATTGCTAAGGCAACAATTGACACAATATGTCTTAAGGTATGCTTGTATACTAATTAATCATGCATCATACTAACATCACACACAAAAAAATCATCATGCATATGTTGAAAAAGCCAAGTTGGCCACATGGCCAAAACTTTCGGTGGCATAATTAATGCACCGAAATTTTTGGTTGAATTTGGACAATGGTTAAATCTCTTTTTTAATCATTATAATTTAGGGTATTTATAAATTAGTCCTTAAGCTTCAACTATAAATACCCTAGCTCATTTAGCTTCAAAACCATCCTAAAGCATTTTAGCTTTCATCCAATACTAGAGAGAATTTAGAGAGTTTCTTGAGAGTTGTTTCCTCCTTTTTATCAGAGAGAATTATCATTGTTTTCTCTTTGGTAGATTGAGAGAGGTTGTAATTCCTATTTCTCATAGTGAAATTCTTCTACCGTTACCAGTGGTTTTTACCCTATATTATTTAGGGATTTTCACGTAAATTTTGTATCTCTTTTTCTCTATTTTTTATTTTCAAATTATCAGTTGCGATTTTGCTCTATCCGATAGCCGTCTTCCGCAACAGCATAGGTATCAAGTCTCAACAAAACAATGTTAAATAGTCCACAACAATTACTTGAATCGTAGTTTATATATATGATGTCATACAATAAATCAAAATTCATATATCGATTTTAACCAAAAATATATATAACTATCACAGTCTATAATTATTATAAGAATTACAAAGTCCTTCTGACTCTTTCTATGGTCCGTGCATTGCATCCAATTAAATATGAGATTAGTCCACATGTAAAAACATTGACCATAAACTATAATCCACGAATTTTTTTCATCTCCATATACCACTTATAAACTCAAATAAAATCAAACATCAAATACAATTTGCAATCGTAATAATTATTATGAAGTCATTGAGCAGCGTTTCTTTCCTTCTCCTCACCATCATCGTCTTCCACCTCTTATCTCCGCTACTGTCACCGAAGCCAATGGCAACGACCCTGACCCCAACGATACCAATGACAACGCGGACGAAGCCAATGTCAATGACCCTGACCCCAATAAAAAGATGTTTTGCGTGCCCACCAATCAAGCTTCCGATGCTGAGTTACTGAAAGCCTTGGATTGGGCATGCGGCCAAGGCATTGATTGTGGTCCGATTCAGCCAGGTGCCGTTTGCGGTAATCCACCCACCATCAGGTCCCGTGCAGCATTTGCCATGAATTCTTACTATAGGTCTAAAGGAGGCCTTCCAGGCACTTGTGATTTTAGTGGCACTGCTACTCTCGTCACCGAGGATCCAAGTAAGCCGAGTTTTGTTTGGTCAAATTTTGCTCTTAGTCCCCATACTATGTTTAAATTTGATAGTTAATCTCTAAATTTAATTTGTCATATTATGTTCTCCAAACAAAAATTATGTTTTTGACGCAGGCTACGGCGATTGCAAATATGTTTGAAGAATTGGATGAGAGGAAGACCAGTCATGATTTATAGCTAAAGATTTTGCTTTGCTATAAATAATTTCAAAAGTGGAGCAATTTAGTTCATATAAGTTATTTGCAACTATTAATTATTGAAAATTTTATTAAAATAATTGATGTTACAGTTAATACTCTAGTCTTGTTTTATGATTATTATTCTATGAACAGATATTACCTTATACTCATTGTAAATTTAGTTCATATAAGTTATTTGCAACTATTAATTATTGAAAATTTTATTAAAATAATTGATGTTACAGTTAGTACTCTAGTCTTGTTTATGATTATTATTCTATGAACATATTACCTATACTCATTGTAAACTTCAATTTCCAACCACGACATCCATACTTCATCGATTCGAGAGATGTGGACACCAACATGGAAATTTTTCATAGTATAATAGGTAATTTATATTCTCACCATATGCCTCGAATCTTCCCCCACAAACCAGCCAATCTCCTCGGTGATTTCATTCCAGCAATGCAATGATACACCAAAAAATCTAACCACCCTACTCTTTCCTTCTGGCAAATGTCTCTGTCCAGGAGTTATATCCTCAAAATATCCTTAAGGTACGACCATTGAAGGACTTCAAGCATGATCAATAAATTTCCATCCTCAATGGTAAGCAGCTACCCCACATGATCTCTGAACTTTAATCTCTCTCAGGCCCCAGTTTTGTAATCTGTTAACAGTACTTCCAACACTGCAGATAGACGCCATGACACTCACCAAGCATTTCCTCATTTTTTTTCTCGAATCATCTTCATCAACATGACCCACAACTTCCTTTCTTATTACAACCACCCGACCATAATCACACCTGGTGTCTTCTCCTCCAAAATTGGTTCCACCTGTTGGGAAATAAACAAGTAACGAGCAATTTCCCTATAACCATATTAGTGAGAATGCGAAATAAAAGCGGAAAAAATACCCGAAATTGATAACGGAGTTCAGCCAATTTTGCCTACGTCTCCGGACTGCTGCAGATCGTTTACTAAAGAGAAAATTTACAGGTGTTTACAAAACACACTTGAGAGAGAACTAGAAGATTTTAGGATGATTTGAAACTAAATGAGCTAGGGTATTTATAGTTGAAGCTTAGGACTAATCTTTGAAAATACCCTAAAGTTCAAAGATTCAATTTTGTAATTATCCCTATTACTAAATAATAAATATTTAGCAACCCATGTTTTTAATTCTAAGCCACCATTTATTCAAAGCAGTCGGTGGCTTTGAATTTCAACAATCTCCCACTTGAAGACTGATTTAATATATCTTCACACCTCGATCAATGTAGTAGCATTCCTGGTCTTATTACTCTAGCATGCCAACTGAAGCTGAACATAACTTCAGTTTGTCCTAGTCACCGTCTTTGTCAACATGTCTGCCGGATTTTGAGCTCCACTAATCTTTTCAAGTTTCAAAATCTCATCTTCCAGAAGACCGGATAAAATGATATCTCAATTGTATGTGCTTCGTTCTGGAATGAAAAGACAGATTCTTTGCTAGATGGATAACACTTTGATTGTCACAATACAAGACATTGTTTTCTTGTTTCTTGCCTAACTCTTCCAAGAAACTTTGGAGCCAAACCATCTCCTTGCTGGCTTCTGTAACAGCGACATATTCTGCTTCAGTTGAGGAGAGAGCAACTATCTTCTGTAGTTGAGAAACCTAACTCACTGCAGTTCCTCCTAGAGTATAGACATACCCTGTAGTGCTTCTTCTGATATCGACATTTCCGGCTAAGTCAGCATCTACATAGTCTGTCAGTGTCGTATCTCCACCTTTGAAACAAAGTGCTTTGTTTGTGGTACCCCGCAGATATCTGAGGATCCATTTGACTGCTTCCCAATGTACCTCACCCGGATTATTCATGTACCTGCTAACAGCTCCCACTGCTTGAGCAATATCTGGTCTGTACAAACCATGGCATACATCAGACTTCCAATTACTGAGGCATATGGTACCTTCACCATGCGTGCACGTTCTTCCTCCGTCTTTGGTGACTGTTCTTTGGAAAATCTAAATGAACACCTAAAGTGTACTTACTGGTTTAGCATCTTGCATATTGAACCTGGAGAGTACTTTGTTGATGTACTCAGCCTGTGATAATATCAAGTCCCCGACTTGTGTCTCTCTTGATCCTCATCCCAAGAATCTGCTTTGCAGCGCCCAGATCTTTCATAGCAAACTGCTTCGACAATTTTTGCTTCAAGTTTATAATCTCTTGCATGTCTGAGCCTGCAACGAGCATGTCATCAACGTACAACAATAAAATATGAAGCTATTTTCGAACCTCTTGAGTAGCAACAATGATCTGCTTGGCATTGGTAAAACCATTGCTACTCATGAAGCTACGAACTTCTTGTACCACTGTCTAGGAGCTTGTTTTAAACCATACAAGCTCTTCTTCAACCTGCATACCATGTTTTTCTTGCATGCCCTATGAAGCCTTCTGGCAGCCTCATATAGATTTCTTCCTCCAAATCACCATGAAGGAAAGTTGTCTTTACATCTAACTACTCAAGATGTAAATTCTACAGCTATAATTTTCAACACCAGTCTGATTATAGATAGTTTCACGATTGGAGGGAAAATTTCATTGTAGTTAATACCTTCTTTTTGCTGAAAGCTTTGACAACCAATCTTGCTTTGTAGTGTTTGCTCACATCGTGCTCTTCTTTGATCCTGTAAATCCACTTGTTATGGGGCGCATTCTTGCCTAGTGGTAATTCAGCTAATTCCCACGTCTGATTGACATAAGCGAGTCCATCTCATCTTTCATTGAAGACTCCGACTTGACTGAATCCTCCATCTGTATTGTTTCATCATAGCACTCTGGTTCACCATTGTCAGTCAGCAACAAGTAGTGCAAAGAAGGCGAATAACGTTGGGTTGGTTTAGGAATTCTGGATGAACGTCTCAGTTCTGGTGTCTGGTTCTTCTTGAACTGCTTCAGGACTGATTTGAACATCATTTCTAGAAATCTCCTCGAACTCAGCAATTCCTTTGTTTCAACTTCGGTATTGGAGCTACTAATTATATGGTTGCTCTGTGTTTGTACATCACATTCTCATTGAAAATAACATCTCTGCTTATGATGATCTTCCGATTTTCATAGTCCCAAAATCGATAACTGAACTCATCACCACCATAACCAACAAGACACATTTGTGACTTGGCATCAAGTTTATTTCTTTCAGCATAATCTATGTGTACATAGAAATACAACCAAAACTCTTAAGTGTGAAAGGTTTATTTCTTTCTTGCTCCAAACTTCTTCTGGTATTCTGTCATCCAAAGGAATTGAGACCCACGGTTAATCAGGTAAGCTGCAGTGTTGATAGTTTCAGCCCATAGAAATTTGGCAATCCGACATGTATCCTCATGCTTCTGGCACGTTCATTTAGAGTTCTATTCATGTGCTCTGCTACGTCATTCTGCTGCGGTGTCATGGGAAATGTTGTCTCCATCTTGATCCCATTATTTGCGCAGAAATCTCTGAATCTTCTTTTCGTACTCTCCTCCATTGTCAGACTCAACCGCTTGACTTTCAAACCAGTCTCATTTTCCACCATGGCCTTCTATTTTCTGAAGGTATCAAAGACTTCTGATTTCTTCTTCAAAAAATAAACCCACACCTTACTTGTTGAATCATCGATGAAGGTGACATAATATAATGAGCCTGCAAGAGATAGAACTGGATGGTCCCCATACATCAGTATGAACCAACTCTAACTTTTCAGCCTTTGGTGTCTTACCAATCTTTGCAAAGCTAACTTTTTTTGTTTCCAAAGATGCAATCCTCACATAGTCCGACATCTATATTATTTAGATCCGGCAGCTTCCCTTTTGACAAAAGTGTCTTCATCCCTTTCTCGCTCATATGACCAAGCCTTTGGTGCCATAGGTTGATTTTCCATCAGCATCTGCTGCAGCAATGATATTCTCTAAGTTGAGGTTACATAGAGAGTACAAGTTTTCTTACCACGAGCAATGACGAGTGCTCCTTTGGTAATCTTCCATTCACAGCCTGAAAAGGTTGTGTTATCCTTTTCCATCAAGCTGCCTATAGAAATCAAATTTCTTTTGAGGCCAGGAATATGTCTCACTCCTTTCAACGTCCAGGTGGTCTGGTTGGCAACTTTAATCGGATGTCTCCTTTTCTGACGATCTTCAAGGTTTCATCATCAGCTAGATGAACCTTTCCAAAATCACCACTTATATAGTTCTCCATGATTTCTTGGCATGGGGTGGAGTGGAAAGATGTCCTTGAATCCAAGATCCATGATTCAATCGGACTGTTGACGCTTAAATCATGGCATCACCTGTCTCCTCTGTCATGTTGGCTTCCTGTGCGCCAGTATATTTCTTCAGTGCTCGGCAATCTCTTTTAAAGTGACCCTTCTTGCCGCAGTTATAACAGGAAAAATCTTTCTTTCCGTTCTAGATTTGGATCTGCCACGATTTGAATTTCTTTCTGAAGTTCTCCCTCTGGACTCCGTGTGCAAGGCTGAAGAGGTTGATGCTTCACCCGATTCTCTCCGTCGAATTTCTTTGCTCAGTACCAGATCCGAACATCGTCGAATTTTAATTTGTTGTTTCTCGATGAGCTGTTGACTGCTGTAACAGTAGCATTCCAACTGTCTGGTAGAGATAGAGAATTAAAGCTCGAACTTCATCGAATTCAATTTCCATGGAACTCAACTGGGTTGTGATTGTGTTGAGTTTATTTAGGTGTTGAGTCACTGATGCCCCTTCCGCCATCCGCAAATTGAATAATCGCCTCATCAAGTGAACTTTGTTTGAGGCTGATGGCTTCTCATACATACTGGAGAGAGCCGCCATAAGACCCGCTGTGGTCTTTCCTTTGCTATGTTGAAAGCAACATTGCGGGATAACGTAAGTCGAATAACTTCGAGGGTTTGTCTGTCGAGAAGAGCCCAGTCTTCATTCTTCATGCCCTCTGGTTGTTTTCCTGAGAGGGGTCGATATAGATTTTTC